GCCACAGCCACAGCCAGCCTCAAGAATAGCCAGAAGGACTCCCAGATGTGTGATTCTGGGGGCTGTAGCTCCCATCCTGGCATGGGCTATGTTGTCATTCCTGGATGCCCTTTGGCATCTCCCTTCTCCCGGGACAGCGAGACAGCCTCACTCTGCGTTTCTTCCCATCACCCAGGTGATCAATGCCATTGAGCAGGACTATCGGCTGCCCCCGCCCCCAGACTGCCCCACCTCCCTCCACCAGCTCATGCTGGACTGTTGGCAGAAGGATCGGAATGCCCGGCCCCGCTTCCCCCAGGTGGTCAGCGCCCTCGACAAGATGATCCGGAACCCTGCCAGCCTCAAAATCGTGACCAGGGAGAATGGCGGGTGAGGACCCCAAAGAAGAGCCCTCCTCCTTCCCCCATCCCCCCCCAGAGCAGAGGTCAGCATTCCCCACCTCCCCCCTGCAGTGCCTCGCACCCTCTCCTGGATCAGCGGCAGCCTCACTACTCAGCTTTTGGCTCTGTGGGCGAGTGGCTTCGAGCCATCAAGATGGGGAGATACGAAGAAAGTTTTGCAGCAGCTGGGTTTGGCTCTTTCGAGCTGGTCAGCCAGATCTCCGCCGAGTAAGTGGAAGGGACCGAAAGCAGAGGGCACCTGGGGCAGCGAGCGAGGGGGCCAGAGCCAGGCCCTCAGGTTCAGCAGGGGTCTTTGGGGTCAACCTCCAGGGCCAGTGTCCCCTCCGTGGAGCAGAGCTAAGGACTCCAGAGCGTCCCTAGAGCAACCCCCCAAGTAGTACTACCGGGGCTGCCCGCAGGGGCCTCGGGGATCAGCACACCCCACTCATCTCCTGGAGCCGCCTCAGCCCGGGTCAGCCCTTCCGCTCCCAGTTTGTATCTATCTTTGTGCTTCTATCTACATTCCAGACCCAACTCTCACCCTAACGTGTCAACTCCGCTTCTCTTTTCCCACCCATAAAAGGAGAAGGTTTTGGAGATCCTTCCCGGCTTTAATGTTAAATGGTTTTATGATTCCACGGCCTCCCAAACAACTCTTCTCCCTGGGTTGGCCCCTGGGACTCCTCCTTTCTGCCTTCCCATTTCTCTCCCAAGGCCTCTACTTACCCAGGTTTGAGTAATAGCAATAGAAGTCTGGAGTCAGAGGGACCCTGGCAAGGCCAGTCCCTTGCCCACCTGCCCTGCTGGGCCGGGGTTTCACTTCCCTAACCTGCTACAGCTTCTCCTGTCTCGGGGTCCTATCCAGTCTCACCTCCTTTGTCCCTTATCTCAGACTCCGGGAACCAGGAGCTTCCCCTTCCCCTCCACCCAGTTCTTCCTTTCTCTCTTCCTGGCCTATTTATTCTCACTTCTCCTTTCCCCTCTAAAGCAGTTTGTGCGGCCTTTTCTCCCCTGCCACTTTGGGCTTCTGATGGGCCCTGCCTTGGAGAGACCGAGCTGAGACCCAGCCCCACCACCTACTGCAGCTGCACACAAGGCCACCCCCGACCCGCACCTACATAGAAACTGCCCTATAACTAATGACCTATTACCCGTCTGCCCCGCTGGCCTTCCTGATTGGCTGACAATTCCAAAGCTGAGAAAGGGTGGGGGGCCTGGAACTAAGCAAGAAGGGTGCCCCCCCCAGCCCTTTGGCTTACTTAGTCCTATTATTCCACAGGGATCTGCTCCGAATTGGAGTCACTCTGGCTGGACACCAGAAGAAAATCTTGGCCAGTGTCCAGCATATGAAGTCCCAAGCCAAGCCTGGAGCTCCGGGTGGGACAGGAGGACAAGCCCCTCAGTACTGACCTCCAGGAATTCCTCACCCCAGGGGCATGGCCTCCCCTTTTTCCTGGGGTAAAGTGGGGGGGGGGTCTCACAGAGGCCCCCATCCTTAGCCCCACTGGATTGCACTTTGAACCCATAGGTGTGGAGAGTTGGCAATTTGGAGAGACAGGACTTGGGGTTTGTGCTATATCACATCCCATCCCCTCCGGGCGGGAAACCCCAAACCCCAGGGTGAGGGCACCTTTCCCTCAGAACTGGGTGTGACCAGAGGGAAAGGAAGCACCCATAATCTCCCAGCTTCCCCAGAGGGCTCCCCAGGTGCTCCCTCACCTCCATGGGCATGTTCTTGCAGACCAAAGAGAGGGTGACCAGCCTGCCAGCTGGGAGTGGAGCGCTGTCCCAGGAGGCAGGAAGGGGTGTCATGCAATGACACAGTCATTGATCTTTGATGCCCCGACTTGCTGCTGTTGCCACAGAACTCAAATCATTCTTCCTTGTAAATGCCCCTCCCCCATCTGCTGCCTTCATATTGAAGGTTCTTGAGTTTTATTTTTTTGTTCTTGGTTTTCATTCCCTCCCTCCCCTCTTTCTGTTTTGTTTTTCTGCCATCCCAGTCCTTATTTTTTTGTTTTGGAGGGCACCTGTTTCTCCTCTCCTCCTTTGCCCAAGGTTGAAACAGGGACCCTTCGAAGTGTCTTATTTCCAGAGCAGTGCCTTGGTCACACCACAGTCCCAGATGGTTCCCTGACCCCCAAATCCCCCCAAGCTGTGTCAGTGAGGGAAGTGTGGGGAAGGGGGGCTGTGGTGGAAACCAGAGACAGACGCTGGTGCTTGGAGGGGTCCTTAAATTATATTTAAAAAGAAACTTTTTTTGTATAAATAAAAGAAAATGGGACATGTCCCAGTTCTGGGGGTGATTGCAAGCCAGGATGGACTAGATTTCCAAGGACAGTGGGGTCTGGGTCAGGCAGCGGAGCTGTGGGGGCCTGAGTACTTGGTTCCCAGCTCCCAGCTCAGGGTGTGTTTGAGATGGTGGGGTGGGGGCCTTGGGAGATGAGTCACCGGCAGCTGCTTCTAACCGCTCCAGCTAGCTGTGCCAAGAGCCTGGGGCATCTCCGGGGTGGGGCTGCCCCCTCCCACCCTTGCCTGGTTCCTCTTAGCCCTGGCTGGGGGCTGTGAGGGAGGGAGGGAGGCCTTGAGCCCACAGCCCTGCCCTGCAGCCCTCTGAAAGGGAGGGGGCATGGCTGGAGGGGGAGACAGATGTGGGCCAGATGTTGACAGCTGGGGTTGGCTGAGAGGCCACAGGGGAGAGAAGGTACTGGCTGTGGGGGAAGGGAAGAGGTGGGAGTGGCTGAAGGGGCCCCCCACGTGTGTGCTGAATGGCAGGCAGTTGGAGGACAATTCCCTCATTCAGTATGCCGCCCAGGCAGGTTCTCCCAGCCTGGGGAGCAAGGGACCAACTGAGTGTCTGCCCACCCCCATCCCCCACTTGTCCTCCCCACACTGGAAGATGAGGCTGGGGTCTACCCCCACTCCTGCTCTGCTCTGCCTCCTCTCCCTCCCAGCAGGACACCAGCAGGCAGGCTCTGGCCAGCCCCACTACCTGAAGCAGCTTTTTTTTTACTTCTGCCTCCCATCGCCCCCTGTTGTCATGTTGGGGTCAGTGCAGGCTGGGCCCAGGACAGTGAGCTGGTTCCACCTCCACAGCCCTCTTACAGAGTCCCTAACGCTCTTGGGTCCTCTGCCCCTTCTCTCCCTTGGCGATGTATTTTGATTCCCCAAGATGGGGTGGAAGGGATTCTGTCCTGCTTGCGGGAGTGGGTCCACCCAGAGGCCAGCACCCCCAACCCCCTGCCCCTGCCAAACAGACTTCCAGGCTAGATAAGGTCACCTTCCAGGGCTGCTGGGGGAAGGAATAAAGGTTAAGGCTGTAGGGCAGAAATGGAGCCCAGGCAAAGATGAAGTCCAGGTGCAGGAACGGAGCTGGGGGCAGGCAGCAGCAGGAACCCACGATGCCCCGCTCAGTTCCAGAGGCTGCCCTGCTGCCCCATGTGTGGAGCTCCTCCACCAAGGGAGTGAGAGCCATGCCAGGCAGGGTGGCCAGCCCAGGGCACCCCTTCTTTCCTGGGCCCTTTCCCCATTAGGTTGCTGAAGGGCTGTTCTTCTAGGGTAAGCATAGAGTCACATCTTTGGAGTATCTCGGTCTACCCTGCTCCAACAGACCCAGACCCAGGTTCCAGACTGTCAGGAACACCCCAACCCACCCCAACCTACACCCCAACCCTCCCCCGGCCTCCCTGTCTCCCTTAGAGCCCAAGCAGGATGGGCCAGCCTGTCTTCCCAGGCTACCTGATTCGAGGACGGAGCCCCCCACCCGCAAGGGAGGGGCAGAAAGTAAGTCCCTCAATCTCACCCTGGGCTGGGGGTTGCCCCACTCCTACTTCAAAACTGGCCCCAACCCCATCCTCAGTTCCCAAAGTAACTCCCAGGCCTTTTGGGGGGATGGAGAAATGGGGATGGTGGGCTCCTTCCCTGAGGGCCATTCACTTCACGAAAGAGCCACAACCCCATCCTTAGCCTTCACTCAGGGGTGAGTTTCATCATTAGAAACATAGAGATCATGCCAGGGGGTGGTGCCTGGAGGCGGAGGCAGGAGGACTACAAGTTCCAGGCCAACCTCAGCAACTGAGCAAGGCCCTAAGCAATTTAGCAAGACCCTGTAAAAATTAAAAAGCGCTGGGGATTTGGCTTAGTGGTAAAGCACCTCGGAGTTCAATCCCCAGTACCCCCGCCTTTCCCTGCGAGAGGGCTCCTCAAATGACTTTTTATTCCCTTTAGCAGGGATCTCAGAGGCCTGTCCTCCAAGAAGCAGGGTTCCTGAGTAAAGATGGACTTGTGGCGCCTTTTCTCCTGTACCCCAGGCCACAGGCTTCATTCTACCTATTTCCCTGCCTTCTGCCTTTCCTGTTGATGGTGTCTCCCAGAGCTGAATGGCTATTCCCATGGCTTCTTCTAAGGGACAAGCTGCTTTCCTCCTCAGATCTAGCCACCCTGCCACTCCTCCTGCTGGGGATTGAACCCAGTGCCTCATGCATGCTAAGCTCTCCTAATGGGCCACATCCCAGCCCAGTAGCACCCAGGCCTTGGCCCCCACCACTCTCCCTCCAGTTTCAACTCCAAAGACCCACCTCACAGACCACTGCTTCTGCCATAATCACAGAAATTCAGAACTCAAAAATAATTTTTTTTTTAATGTCCACGTCTGACAACAACTCAGAACCGAGTGGCTCTGAAGGCAGCCTGAGGAACACTGAGGAAAATGGAGAAAACCGGCCTCCAAAGAGGACTCAGCTCTGGAGGTGCAGGTGCTGGCCCCAGAGTGGGCTCTCACCTGTGTCCCCCAACTGGCCTCTGTTCTGGTCCTTCATTTTCTCCCTAGGAGGCAGTGGAGAGCAGGTGTGGCCTACAGTGAGGCCTGTCCTTCCCCACACCCCTGTTGACCTATCCCACCTGGCTCTCCTCACCCCTGCCCAGGACTCACCTCCTCCTCCTCATCCTGTAAACACACTCTCTGATCGCTGCTGACACTATGACCACCGCGGGCACCAGCATACCCAGCAGGATGGCCACAAAGTTGGATGCTTCTGGATACAGGAAGAGAAACAGGAATGTGGGTGGGAAGAAGGCAGTCCTGTTGGTCTGAGGGACCTCATCTCCCTAAATATCTGGGCGTGGCTGGTTCTCCCTCCTGCCCCCGCCCCCCCAGCAGCCCTTTCTGGTTCCAGACAACTCCCAGAAGCCTTGACAGTAGGTCCCCAGAGTCTCAGGTATCATCCCTGTCAGGGTTTCTCAAAACATCCCCAGAAACACTTCCACCAGCCAGGACCTGGCTGCTTGTTACAAAAGCAGATTTCTGGGCCCACTTCAGACCTACTGAACCTAAATCTCTGGGTGTAAGTCCTGGAACATGTTAAACAAGTTACCCGCTCCCAGTCTTGCGTAGAACAAACTTGGGGAGAACCCCAGTGGCACAGTGGAATTTGAGCTTTGGGTAGGAAAAAATAGTAAAAAGTCCAGAAAGGCCTAAAGGGACCCAGATGGGGGAAATAATGGGGTGAGGCAAATCCCATAGGGGAGGGAGGAAATGGAAAGTTAGGGCTTGAAGAGAAGATTCCAGAGCATGGGAATAGGAGGTGGGCACAGGGGCTAGTTGAGGACCCCCTATCTTGCTAATCTCTAGGGATCATTATGCTATAATCCCTATTATACTTGATATATATATTATTATATATATGCTGTAATAATTTATTACCTATTATATCTATTGATAAATATTATATCTATAATATCTGTAATCTATATCTATAATAGATATGTGTTAATATTATGCATTTAAAACAATTCTATGGGGGCTGTTGGTTGGGCCTGGGGCCTGGGCTCTCCCCTCACCTGGCTTTTTAGGGGGAGGGATGTCCCGCGGCTCCGTGCACAGGGCTCCCCCATAGCCGACCTCACATTCACAGATGAAGCTGGCCCCCTGCTCCAGACACTGACCATCGTTCTGACAGGGGTTCGGAAGACACGGAGTTTCTGCAAGATTGGAGGGCTGTGAGGGGCCAGGTGATTCTCAGTGCAGGGGAGGCAAGGCTGGAGGCTGGACCCAGGAAGGCAGCAGCGCCTCCAGAGCCCGGCGCTAGCCCCAGCCTGGGCTCTGGGGAAATGCTTAACCTTTCTTCATACCCACAAGATGGGTGCGCTGTGCTTGCCATCAGGTGCTGTAGAAAAGGACTAAAGGGACAGGGCTTTGTAGGTAATAGATGCTCAGGGAGGGAGAGGTCCTTTTCCTTTTTTCTTTCTTAAAAAGAGAGGCAGGACTTCCTGACAGCCACGTGGGAACTCTGAGCAGAGGATGGGGCGGGGAGCAACTTGGAGCAGAGAGATCCAGGCTCACCTCGAAAGCAGCCGCGGGTGAAGTTGCCTAGGGTGCAGATCTCCTCGGAGCTGCAGCCGAAGGGCTCACACATCAGGACCCCTGAGCTGGCACAGATACAGCGCTCAGAGCAATCCTCAGTCACAAAGCTGTCACCCAGCTGGAAAGGAGAAGGGCAGAGTTGGGGTTCTGGTTTCATGCTGGGTCTGGCTCTGTGCACCTTGGCTTTCGTGGGCCACCCGCTGCCAGCCCCAACCTGGTAATAGGCACCGTCTCTGGTGCAGCCGCAGTCAGCTATCGGGAGGCTCTGGGCACCACTATAGGCGTAGCCTGGGAGGTTGGCGCAGCCTTCCACGCAGGGGCCCTCACAGTCCCCAAGGGTCACCAGGTTGGCACAGGACACCGGGCAGGGCATCATGCAGCTCTGATACACGGTATTGGCTGGACATGTCATGGCTGAGGGGACAGAGACATGGCCAAGAGTTGGGGCCAGCCAAAAAGGCATGGGGCTATGGGACAGTGGGGCTGAAGGTGGAAGAGGGGGTGCAAGATGGCTGCCTGGAGGCAGGAAAACCAGAGGAACAGGTACCCCGTCTGAGGGGTTCATCTGGAACATGAGCACAGTGAAGGAGCACAACGGATAGAGGCGGGTGCAGGAGAGGAGGAAGGGGATGCAGTGATGGGAGAAGGAGGCTCCCTGGGGGGTGGGAAAGGGTCAGGTGGAAAAGACAGCTGCTTTCAGCTTGCTGAGAACTGAGGGGCAGAGGAACCAAGACAGGAAGCCCGAGGTGAGGACCGTGGTAGGCGAAGGGTTGGGCAGGGAATGGCTGGCAGAGGAGTCAAGGTCAGCTGCCAGGCAGGGGCAGTGCCTCACCACAGCGGGTGTGGTCCCGCCAGCTGGTTAGGCTGGCGCCCGCCTCTTGACAAGTGATGGCGTACCCGCTGAAAACCTGGCAGCGCAGCTCCTCTTGGTCATTGGGGTCCTGGGCTGTACACAGATCAACCACACAGTGCCTGGAGTCGAGAGGGAGGGGAGAGGGGGCTGTCACAGACAGGGAGGCAAGGACCCCTGCAGAAGAGGGCTTGAAGCCCCTCACAGAAGACATTGGGCAGTGTCAAGGGAGGGTCACCAAGAAGAAGTGAGGCCACAGGGAGAAGGAAGGGAGGCGAGGTCAGACAGCAGGACCCAGTGAAAGGCTGGAGCAGGAACTGAGGCCATGCTTGCAAGTCCTGGGCCCTTGACTCACTCCTGGAAAGGCTCTGGGGCCACAGTCTGGTGACAGGCAGCAAAGGGACCCTCGGGGTCCACCAGTACACTACAGGCCTGGGTGCTATTGATGAGTGCCAGCTGCTCCAAGCTGCAGGCCAACCCTAGGGAGCTGGAATCTGCTTGTTGTCTCTCTTCCTCCTTGCTTATGGCCCTGGAAGGGAGAAGCCAAGGACCAGGTGAGGCCCTGGAAGAAGGTGAACTTGGGGAGGAACAACTGGGGACAGAGGCTAAGGGAAGGGCAGGACCCACTGGGATTTCCATTGAGCAGGTGCCCGCCCCTCAATGTCAGTACGAGGAGAAGTGGTAGAAGGTGAAGTAGTGAGGCCTCTGTCCACTAGAACTGAAAAACAGAATGTGAGGGTAGCAGCCATAGTCAGAACCTGGTCCTCCTGAGCCCCAGCACTCACCTTGGGGAACGTGAGAGGGGCTCATCCGCATTTGCCTCCCAGCTGTTGCCAAAGACATAGAGGTTCTGGGTGAGCCTGCCATCCGGCAGTATGAACTCATTGGTGCGGTTCCCGTCATAGTTCCCACACATGCCACGCACCAGCCCCTGGTACATGCTGGGCAGGGTGATCACTGTGGGAGCAAGAGGGTGCCCTGCAGTGAGCCCCCCATGCTGGCCCCCCACCTCCTCCTGGGTCCCCAACTTGAGCTGGGGGCCCCATTCCCAGGCAAGGCTTCTCTCCTCACGATGAGCCCGTTTATGCAGGGCATTCTCACCCCTACCCCAGAACTGTGCCCTCCGCTCTGTGTCCCCCTCTCTCTGGTACCTGCGTTGATCCTTGCACCACCACCCAAGCTGACGACCAGCTCAAAGTCGGTGATCAGAAAGAGCCGCTGGCCCTGCATGGTGACCTGCAGGTGCTCATTGGGACTGTAGGGGTAGGCCATCTTCTGGTTGTTGACCTGGGGAGTAGGAAAGGTGGACAGGCACTGCGGGGCATGTTGGAGCAAGCTTGCCCTCTGCTGCTCTGGCCTGTGCCTGGCTTTGCCCATATTCTCCCTCTCTCTGTACGTCATTCAGTGGTTCAATCATCCAGGAACCTCCCAGAAGCAGGGTGCCTTCTTCACCAGCTTTAGGTGGTCTCAGCCTGACTCCTACTAACCAGAAGCGTCAGTCCAGCCTGGAACTGGACTTTATAGCCATAGACGAAGGTGATCACTTCATGCAAGAAGATCAGGCCCGGGGCCGAGGAATCCACCTTGTTACGTCCCTCCACAACCAGCTTCTCCAGCCCTTCAGGGAGCTTGTCCACTGTCTTTACCAGGATGTAGGTCATGCGACCCTGGAAGAGGTAGCTGAACCTATCAAATGTGCGGTAATGGGGGTCCCCGTAGACGGAGCATTGATCCGATTCTGCCAAGAAAGGCAAACACTGAGAAGGGACCCTACCCAGATATGAGTCCTGGGAATCCCTCCTACCATGGCACCTCCTGTCACCTCTCTCTTGGGCCCTGGGCTCCCTGGATACTTGACCTTCAACTTCTTCCCTCTCTAGCTCCATTGCAACCTTCATCTGGATCTTCTCACCCTCCTCTCTCTTTTTGACCTTAATGTAGGGGGTCCTGAGAGGATCTATAACTTGCCTGTGACCAGAGTTGGCAGAAGCCAGGCCTCCTGATCCTATTGCCCACCCCATGACTACCGTGCTTGGCACCTTATCCAGGCTAAGTTCCTGCTTGGCCCCTCACTCCTCCTGGGTCCCAGGTGCACCCCTTTCCCCCTTCCCCAGCAGCTCCCTACTGTCAGGGACGCAATTGTTGATTCCTTCCTTGTGTTGGCAGTGAGACTGAGCCGGACAGCGGAAGGTCTTGCACCGAATGCTTCCTCCTACGCAGGAACAAGTCTGCGTACAGCCTGTGGAGATCCAGGTCTTGCCTATCTGTAGAAACCACCAGAAAAGAAAAAAAGGGAGGAGGGAAGGGTGAGTTCTCCTCCTCTCACTCCTTCAGTCTAAGCCCACTGTCTCAAGAGCTCACAGTCAGCCTCTGTATCTATGGGTTGGATCCAACCAGACTTGGATAGAAATATTTGAAAAAAAAATTGCATTTGCGCCAAATTTGTCATTATTCCCTAAAGAATATGGCATGACAATATTTACATGACATTAACATTATATATACTAGCTATTACATGTTGTCTAGAGATGATGTAAACTCTACAAGAAAGATGTGCAAATGTTCTATGCAAATACTATGCTATTTTATGGAAGGGACTTGAATGTCCACAGATTTTGGTATCGTTGGGAGTCCTGGATCAATTGTTCTCATGGATATACAGGAACTAATGCATTAACCCTGGGGAGAAGCAGTTACAGTGCCATTTGGATCTTTATGTCCCTATATCTTCCCCAAAGGCATTGTTCTTGTTGTCTTACATATGCTCTTCAGGACCCATTTTACAGAAGAGAAAACTGAGGCATCAGAGGTCATCTGACTCATCATAGGTCTAAACAGGATTCAAACACAGATCATCCCACACAAAGGCCATGCTCTTTCTGCTATAAACTTCTGTGCCCAGTTGTATGGATTCCTTACCTCCCAAACCCAAACCATATTCCACCTGCCTTCACACTCCGGGGCCAGCCACAGAGACAAGGGTGCCCCAGGCTGAGAGGCTGAGGAAAGAAAAAGTACAATCCTCAAGGTTTGTGACCCCCCCCCCACACTCCCATTTCCTCAGCCCACTCACAGGAATGGTGCCACCCTGGGCGTCCTTGCAGCTACAACTACTTTTGGGCATACAGTTGTCCCCATTCAGCACATAGCCGGACTGACAGAGGCAACCTTCAGCGCAGCTGGAAGGGCCTCTACTATTCTTGCAGTGGCCATCCGGGTTCAAGCAGGAAGATGGGCAGGAGGGAAGGCAGTTACTGTAGCTGGAATGGGCCGGGCATTCCAGAGCTGTAGGGTGGAAAAGAGACTTGGGTAAGTGGAAGGGACCAGAGGTTGTCTAAGAGGTCAGGGCCTCTAGAAACCAGGCTAGGGGTAATGACCAACAAGGCTTGGGGTTTCTCTCCTTATTCATTCATCAAACATTTACTGAGTGTGGGTTGTATGCCAGGACCTGAGGGGGAAAAAAGTTAGAAGCACTCCTCCAGGCTGTGCAAGGGCCTGGGTTCTATGCCCAGCACCATTAAAGTCAAAGAATGGCTCTCCGGAGTCTGTGTGGGAGACTGAGGTCCCCCGCAATAGCAGCACAACCTTGATGTGCATGGTATGTATGTGACTAGCAGATGTGTACCAGGCATATTGGTGGCATAGAGCAGGGAGGTATCAACTCTGTCAGGGGAGCTCAAGAAAGGACTCTAGAAGAAAGTGTGAACAAAGGGAAATGTATACCATGTTCATGGACAGGAAGAGCCAGCAACATGCAGATGTCATTTCTCCCCCAGTGAATTTATAAATTTAATGTGACCCCAATAAAAAAGACCAACCAGGTTGTGTGTGTACGTTTGTGTAGACAAAGTGGTTTTAAAACTGAGATAAAGATACAAGCAAACTGAAAAAAAAAAAGAATAAGCAAACTAGAAAGGCCAGGAAAACCTTTTTTTTCTTTGTGTGTGTGTGTGTGTGTGTGTGTGTGTGAGGATCATGGGGATTGAACCCAGGTATGCTTTACTACTGAGTCACATCCCAGTCTTTTTATTTTTTTTAAGACAGGGTCTCACTAAGTTGCTTAGGGCCTCAACACATTGCCTAGGTTGACCTTAAACTTGTGATCTTCCCATCTCTGCCTCCGAGTCCCTAGGATTACAGGAGTGCACCTCTGTGCCCTGTACCAGGACAACTTTTAAATAGCAGTGATTAGTGAAGGTCCCTACCCAAAATTAAAACACATTTTAGATTCCCAATGATCACAGCATGTTACTGGTACATGAAGATACAGATGAACCTTTGAAGCAAGAGATAAAATATACAACTGGGCATGATGGTGCACACTGTAATCCCAATGACTTGGGAAACTGATTACAAGTTTAAAGCCAGCCTCAGCAACTTAGTGAGGCCCTAAGCAGCTTAATTAGACCCTGTCTCAACATAAAAAAATAAAAATAAAAAGGGCTGGGGATGTGGCACACCTGTGTTCTATCCCCAGTAGCAAAATTAATGAATAAAATTTAAAAATTTAAAAACCAGATACAGATCCAAGCATATATGAAAATTTAGTATTTGATAAATTGTAGCATCTCAGTTGGCAGGGAAAGCTAGTCTAGTTATTTAATAGTGCAGAAACAACTTGTTAGCCTTCTGGAAAAAATTAAACAAAGTTGATTCATATCTCATTCTACATGCCAGGCTAATTCCTCATGGGTCAAAAATTTAAACATAAAAAAGAAACCATAAAAATCCTAGAGCACAGCATGAGCCAAAAAAATTTTAAAAATCTAACTTTGGTGGGGACAGCATCTGTAACTAAGGTCTCAGATACAGAAACCATGAAACAGGGATTAATATTTTTTAGGGTTGGGGATGTAGCTTCATGGTAAAGTACTCCTCTAGCATGTGCAAGACCCTGGATTCAATCCCTAGGACCACAAGAAAGAAAAAAAAAAAAAACGTCAATTCCATAAAAATATTTTTTCTTCTGCATGGCAAGAAAAGTAAAAAAGATTTTTTAAAAAGGAACTGGAAAAAAATTTGTGTAACTTGGAGCACTAATAAAGGGCTACCTTCCATAATAGATAAAGGACTTCTCTAAAATAGTTTGATAAAGACCAACAACTTAGTGGGAAAATTGGAATGAACAAGATCAGAGAGCTTATAGGAAGGGAAATTCAATTGGCTCTTAAACATATGAAAGAATGTACAGTCTTGCTCACAATAAGAAAAATGCAAGTTAAGGTTCATTATTTTTCACATATTAGATTGTCAAGAATCCAAAAGGTTGGTGGCACACTGGCTTGGTGAGGATAGAGGGAGTGGAGACAGGCACTCTCGTTTATTGCTTGTGGAAATGTAAATTCTTCAACTCCTTGGGAGGGCCATTGGCAACACCTCTCCAAAGTACAAATGCATACAGTTCTGGTCCCAACAATTCTAGTTCCAGGAATTTTTCTTACACATAGAGTCACATACGTAGAACACCATACGTGTGTTATTCCCCTGCAACACTGATTGCAAAAGCAAAATGGTGGGAACAACCAGAAAGTCCCTCAAAGAAGAGCAATTAGATAAATTAGGATAGGGCTGAGGGTGTGGCTCAGTGGTATAGAGCTTGCCGAGCAAGTGTGAGGTACTGGGTTCCATCCCCAGGACTGCAAAAAGAAAATACTATATGATAGTCATGTGCAGTGGCGTAGACCTGTAATCCAAGTGACTTGTGAGGCTGAGGGAGGATGATTGCAAGTTCGAGACCAGCCTCAGCAATTTAGTAAGACACTGTCTCAAGATAAAAAAAAAAAAAAAAGGACTTGGAATATAGATCAGTAGTAAAGCACCCCTGGGTTCAATCCTCAGTACCAAAAAAAGAAAAAAGAAAACAAGAAGGAAAAAAGAAAAAAGAAATACCTATATAATAATAGACTATTATGCAGCTGCAGAAGGTAATGAGGAAGCTCTTTACATACATGACATGGAAAGATCTCTAGATTATCAAAAATAAAGTACAAATTACTGCAACTAGTATGGTACTATATATAAGACAAAAGGAGAAAATGAGGTATACTAATTTGAATTTGTTTATACAGTAAAAGGTCTTTGGAAAAATACTGAGATGTGAACTGATCCCACAGGGTCAGGGAGTGGTGAGACTTCTCTCTGGGTATCTGTTTTTGTTTGTTCATTTTTGAAACAGGATCTTACTATGTTGTCCAGGCTGGAATCAAAACTCATGGGCTCAAGGGATCCTCCTGCCCGTGTCTCAAGTGCTCGGACTACTGGTATGTACCACCATGCCTAATACTTTAAAGGTGTGTGTGTGTGTGTGTGTGTGTGTGTTGCCTGGAACAGTGGTACACCCTGCAATCCCAGTGATTTGGGAGGTTGAGGTAGGAGGATCACAAGTTCAATGCTAGGCTAATCACTTATTGAGACCCTGTTTCAAAACCAAAAGGGGGGCTGGGGTTGTGGCTCAGCGGTAGAGCACTCGCCTTGCCCGTGTGAGACCCTGGGTTCAATCCTCAGCACCACATAAAAATAAATAAGTGAAATAAAGGTACTGTGTCCAACTACAATTAAAAATAAATAAATATAAAAAACACACAAAAAAACCCAAAAACCAAAAAGGGCTGGGGATGTAGGTCAGTGGTAAAGTGCCCTGGGTTCAATCTCCAGCACCATAAAAACATAAACAACAAAAAATATATGGGAGGATGTGTGCAGGTTATACACAAATACTATGCCATTTTATATAAAGGAACTGAAGCATCCTCAGATTTTGGTATTCAGAGGGGTCCTGAAACCAATCCATCTCCTGTGCATACCAGAGAATAACTGTACTTACTAAAAAAAGTAATGAATTGCTGCTTTAAATTTCAGAGGGTTCTTCTTTTAGATAGTGGTGATGGTTGTACAATTTTACAAAGATACTAAAAGAACACTTTAAAAGTGTTGAATATCATGCTATATGAATAAGCTCAGTTATAATTACTGTTTTTACAGAGCTACAGAAGATGCCCAGCCTCCAGGGGGTGAAAAGACAGATCCTTCCAGACACCTGAGTGTGTGAAAAAACAGGCCTGTGTGGGAAGGGAGTCGGAGAGAAGGGAGAGGCCAGGATGGTGGTCTCGGACACCACTGTGCCATGCTTGGACTTAACCCTGCAGGAGGAGAGTAGTCACACTTCCTTTGCTTGGGAAAATGTCATCAGTAAAGGAGCCGAAAAGCAGCTGCTCTGATACGAGGGGCTCTGGTTGGGAGGGGACTGTAACCAGTCCTTGTCAGAGATGACAAGTTCAGAAGTAGGTCAGGAGCAATCAGAGGGAGCATGAGGGAGCTCTAAGGAACAGGAGGGGAGAAACAGGGTGTGGGAGCAGACTAGGGGTGACAGAAGGGGATACTTACGGCAAAAGCTGCTGTTCCTCCAGATGGGGGGCTTGAGCCCCTGGGTCTTGCAGGCGGCCCCAAAGTCCCGGAAAACCAGGCAGAGGGCTCCCGTCAGGATTCCAGAGTCACAGAACTTGTCCCTACAGAGCTGCAGGTAGGGCTGGATGTCCACCCGGGCAGCACACTGGGCCCAGGCAGGGGCCTCAAGGGCTGCTTGGCAATTTCTCTGGGCTGTTTGGAAGTCGACTTGCTTGCAAAGGGCTTTCACTTTGCCCTTGGATTCCTCCTTGTGGCCCTGGCTTTCCGTCCTGTGGCCCTCCTTGTGGCCCTCGCTTTCCGTCCTGTGGCCCTCCTTGTGGCCCTCGCTTTCCGTCCTGTGTTCCTCCTTGTGGCCCTGGCTTTCCGTCCTGTGGCCCTCCTTGTGGCCCTCGCTTTCCGTCCTGTGGCCCTCCTTGTGGCCCTCGCTTTCCGTCCTGTGTTCCTCCTTGTGGCCCTCGCTTTCCGGCCTGTGTTCCTCC